GTAAGTCTTGAAGATTAAATATGTAATTATACTAATTATTAACTTATGCATCAATATTTTCGTTAAATATTATGAGATGACTAGATTGATAACATTTAAAAATTAACTGATAAAATTAATAGATCGATAATCAAAATCAAAAATAATATAACCATATGTGTAATATTATAATTTCATACATTTTTCATATAACTACAATAAAGTCAAATTGGTTTTCATATTGTTATCATATTAATGTAGATAATTCACTCCACCTTTAACAAACATTAACAAAATATTTGATAATTCTTACATTATAATCGAAACATTTTACATAATATATTATTAATTTATAATAATAATAAAAAAACTATTTATTATAAACAAATACGTGTCTGCTGAGTTGACAAAGGCGCGTCCCCGGGGACGCGCCTTCCACACGTAGCATCCAACTCAGCGAAAACACGGGTAAAGCGCGTCCCCGGGGACGCGCCTTTGTCAACTCAGCAGAAAAGGTGCTACTTCTGGAAATATTGGTCAAACGGTGTCAGAAAGGAAAAATTTAAAGCAAACGGTGCAGTTATGTAATTTAGCCCGACAAATTTATATTAATGGAAGGTCCCACCCACCTTAAAACTCTCCACCATCACTTGTCCTCTGTATTTTAATTTTCTAATATGGTTGGGTCTATAGGATTTTTTTTTATAAAAAATGTAGCTCATAAAACTTCTTGTCCAACGAATAATAAAGAATCAACTAACCATGTCGATAAACCAACCCATGACCAAAAGCAGCCATGAGATTTATAACCAACCACAACTAAAGTAATTAATGTTAATTGATTAATTTGTATTAACTAATGGCCAGGCCCCCAAATTCCCACACTTCACACAAATTTGATAAGCAGCTCCTTTAGATGATAATGAATTTATCATTTTCAGTTGCACATGTTGTGAAAAGAACAGTAAAGCATAAACTTGTCGAACCACTTGAAAACCATAACTCCACGTACATACGAATTTCATGGCATGGATGCAGAGTGATGGTAGGCACAATCACCATGCCTGGTTTCCCAAAGCCACATATGTAACCTTTTATTCAACAATTTAGTAAACCAACTGTAACATAATCCTGATCAACCCAGAGAAAAAAAACATTAAGCTTCTTCTGACTCAAAGAAGTTTAGATTACTAATATGGCTGACAGATGATTTGTATACTAAGTACCGCAATCTAGATCGAAACTTTGTATAACACACAGAAACTGCAAGGCACTACCAAAATTAAAAGCAAGTATAAATCTCAGAGCATAAACTGCCAAACTTACAAGTGCTTTGGAGCTTTATCTCCCAAATACTTCATCAGCACATCCATAACGGAACCGAAATCCGCCTTCACTTGCATAGGCGGATTAGCAAACCTGCAAGCCATATCTGGAATCTCCTTCGAGTGATAATCAACCTTAGACTGCGTAAACTTCAATCCATGAGCTGTACTAACCACAACGGCTCTGTCCCCGGATCCAATTACCCCACTATTCCTAAGCTTCATTAAAGCAGTCAACGCAACTCCGGTATGAGGGCAAATAAACATCCCTGTGGAATCAGCCTGCGCCATTGCATCCATTAACTCCTCCTCAGTCGCTTCCTCAACAATCCCATTCGAATTTTTCAGAGCATACACGGCTCTATCTATAGAAACAGGGTCACCAATTTGAATAGCTGATGCAAATGTAGTATTTGCCTTGACTGCCTTAAACTCACTCCACCCAGATTTATAATGCAGATAAAGTGGATTGGCATTGGCAGCTTGGGCACAAACCAATCTAGGTATCTTATCAACAAGCCCCAGTTCTTGACACATTTTGAACCCTTTGTAAAAAGCATAAATATTACCCAAATTACCTCCAGGAACAATAACCCAGTCAGGAACTTCCCAGTCAAACTGCTGTAAAATCTCAATCGCAGCTGTTTTCTGCCCTTCGAGTCTTAAACTGTTCAATGAATTGGCAAGGTAAATTGGCAGCTCGGCGGTAACTTCCCGGATTAACTTCATGCAACCGTCGAAATCAGTGTCGATACTCAAGACGAACGCGCCGTTTGCAATGGGCTGAACTAATTGGGCAATGGAGATCTTATTCGCGGGTAAAAAGACAATGGAAGGAATCCCAGCAGCAGCGCAATAAGCGGATAAGGCAGCTGATGTGTCGCCCGTGGAAGCGCAGCCGACTCCAACGACGGGCCGTTTCAGTTTTCGCAGTCGATTAACTTGACTGACCAAAACGGTCATTCCTAGATCCTTGAAACTGCCGGTGTGGCTGATTCCACAGTGCTTAACCCACAAATCGTTCATTCCCAGAAACTGTTTCCCGAACCGTTCCGCCCAAAACAGATTGGAGTTCCCTTCGAAAGCCGAAACGATGTGGGTCAATCTCGGGTCAATCCGGTCGACCCTGACCAACTCCAGACCCGTACGGCCAAGTGGTTTTCCCAACGCGCGAATCGAATAGCTCCCTCCAATACGCGCCGTCAAACTTCTTCAAAGCCTCCAAATCGTGTTGAACGTCGAGCAGTCCACCGGAACGGCTCCGGTAAACGATCTCGTCGAGAGAGTAGGACTCGGTGGAGTCGGGGCCCGCGTTGAATGGAACATATTTGGCGGAGAGGGTGTTCTTGGCAGTGGATCGGTGGCGTCGAGCCTCGTCGCGGATATTCTCATCGGCATGGCGACGGTTCTTTTGGGGGGGATTGGAATTGTTGGATGAACTAGTAGCTGAAGAAGAATCAAATATGGAAGAGGAGGAACATGATTTAACAGTAGGGGCGGGGCGATTGAACCTGCGGTGGCTCCGATGGTGCAGCGACGGGAAGTTGGATTTGGAGGCGAGAGAAGACTGGAACAGCGAACAAGACTGAGCCATGTTTGAGAATGGAGGCGGCGGGTGGTAGCGTGAGAGAAGTGATGGAAAATAGGGCGCTCAAAATTTGAGAGGGGTTGTTTTGTACTTTGTAGGGCCCCTGAATGGGCTAGATAGATGCCATATTGCCATGTTCTTGTAGTCCTTTCTAGCCGTTTGATTTCTCGCTTTGTCGATCTTGATTAATGTCCCATTTTTGCCACTCTTGAAATGTTTAGGTTATTGTAAGATTTTTGGTTACACAGGGACATATAAAAACAAACGTAGTCCAAGTCCCATGGGGAAGGCAACTCCTCTTGAATTGAATCCGCTTCCAAAAGAGAGATAACATCAGTTGGAAAGGATTCAAACTGTATGAACTCGTCATCAAGGAATCATCGGCACAAAAATTTCCTTCTCGGTAAGTATATTGAAAATGTAAGATCCAATTACGATATTTGAAGCTTCCAATATCTTCGATTAAACTACCTAAAAGGTGTAGTGGAGTCTCACCTTCTTCGATGAGTCGAAGAGCTACTTTGGCATCGACTTCGCAAACAATACAGTTGAATCCAAACTTCCAAGCTAGGGATAAGCCAAGGCAGATAGCATATAACTCAGCTGCAACACTAGTGCAGAGACCTAGATGAGCCCCAAAAACTAGAATCCAAGCACCTGCTTCATTACGAAGTAATCCACCTACTCCAGCAACATCAGGATTTTCTTGGCATGCTCCGTCAATATTAAGTTTAACATAGTCACTCATTGGAGGAGACTAAGCAATTGGTGGAGGTTGGGCAGTCTCTTTAGCCGGTTTCGGATCCATCCAAATCAGTTCATTAACAGCTGAGATAATCCGCATCCACAACCGCCACTCGTCATCAGCATAATCTGCCGAATCAAATATCCTCTTGCTAATTGTTATTTATCCGTATTTTTTTCTCTCGAAACTTGATTTTTAGTTGCATCTTTTATTTGATATTTTTACAATATTATCAATTTCATAATAGACGATGATGATAATATTACGATGATATCGTCTGAATAATTATATAATAATTATAAAGTGTTAAAAATCAAATATCTTAAATTGAATTTATTGTTATGATTTGTATACATCAAAAGAAATAAAATTTTCAGTAATATCCTCTTTTTTTTTTTGAAATTTTATGGAGATCAAACATATCTAAACATATATAAAATGAACTAAACGTTCGGTGAATCATTCATAAACCGTTTAGCGGTAAGTTTTTTTATGTTCATTTATTTATTAAACGAATAAATATGAACAATATTTTATACTCGTTTAATTAAATGAACGAATACGAACAAAAGGCCCGTTTATTTATTTACGTTCAGTAATCTGTTGATTTATGTTCGTTCATTTAAGTTCGTTTATCTTCTCCAGACCCATTTGAAATATTAAGATTTAATAAAGTTTAACCTTAAACCTATAATATTTTTAAACTCAATTAATTTTAAACCAAAATAAAAATAATCAAATCAATTAAAGAAAATATAAATCTTAAATTTATTTCGAAAGAAAAAACTCTTGTCAAATATAAACCTAATTAATTTTAAGTTCGTTCGTTTACCTTCGTTTATTTATGTTCGTTTATCATTTTTAATGAACAAACTAAATTTCTTAATGAACAAACACGAACAATAAAATTCATTTGTCTAGTTGTTCGTGTTCATTCGTTCGTTTAGTTAAAATTAAACGAACCAACATAAGCATACTCTCATTTATGTTCTTTTTGTTAATTTACATGCCTAAACATCTCTATAATTGAACTCCATCTAAAGATAAATAGTGAAAATCAAAAAACAAGAAATTGAAGTTTTCGATGTAAGATTCATAAATTTTGAGATGTTTTCAGCTAAATAAACATCAAATTTATGTTTAAATTGGTGAGAAATTTAAGACTCGACCGCTATCAACGAGGATCGACAATGGTCAGATTTTGATTCGAATAAGATACAATAGGAAGAAGAAAAAAGAGAGAAAATAACTATATAAAGATTTAAAATGACGCCATTTCAACAAACATTAACTGATTCAAGTGGTATACAACTTAATATCGCTTAAATAAAGTCTAAGTTTGAGTCATTATGTATGTAGAAAGACTCTGTTGGGAAATTCACCCACTTAAATCAGGTGTGCAATGTAGGTCAATAATCAAGACAAAACCTTAAAACCGTTAAGATAACATAAAAAAAATGACGTCATTTCAACGTGTTTGTTGTGTCATAATGTTGCTAGCTATTCAATAACAGGGTAGACAAAACAATAACAATTTGATCGTTGAATGACAAAATCAATATTTTCTCTTAAATTCGATGATAAAATAAGATGTAAAAAAGAAAATTGAGATATGATTTTCGTGCTTTGGTTTTTTTAAGGTTTAATGAAAAAATAATTGTTCAAATTATACCCAAAATTTTAAATAGTTATCTATACTATTTTTTATCTATATAGTGTTTAACATTATAAACATGACTTATTTAGATGTACAGACCGTCATCAACGTTAATTTATCTCGTTAAGTAAAGCGTGTTACAATCGAATTTGAATTTTTAAAAAAATATTATTATATTTTTGCCACTGCGTCGACCATGAATGTCGTACTTAAGTCTAAAAATCTCTCACTAATGTCTAATTTACAGCCGAAAATCCCACTGTTTTTGCCACTGCTTCGACCATGAGACCATGAATGTCCAACTTGACCTTCTTCGCCACCTCCTGTCTTGGACCCTCCACGACCAGTAAAAAAATAAAATAAAAAACTTTATGCCTTTTGCTTTTGTATATAAACCTCCTCGTCATTTTTATGCATTTCCATTTTAAAATAATTGTCTGCAATAAAAAAAAAAGTTGGGAGCGAGAGCAAAAATCTCGATTTTTTTGTTTTATTATTGTTATCGTCTTTCTTGTGAATTCAACTGCCATATTCCTGTTGTTTTGTTTTTATTTTGCTGTTAGAACTCTTGAGCTACCGGTCGGTTTTGCGGTCCGATCTGACTTCCGGAGTTCGTTTTTCTTCGACTCGGTTTTGTCTCGGATGAGTTGATAGGAGGAAGATCGCTGCATATCATTTTCATGGTACTCGATTGCTTTGATTGTTTTTTCTACCTTTTTGGCTTGAATCGGTTGAACGTTCCATCTTGTTATTTGATTCATACTTTTACTCTTTTTTTATATAAGTCATTTAGTGCCGTTTATATTTAATTTACTATATTTTATAGTCTTGCAATGTTAAAAATAGTTAGGAAACTCTTTCGTGTATTTCTCGATGTTTCTTTTTTCCTTTTTGTTTCCATGTTATATTGAAAAATGATGAATGCCTTTTTAATTATATTTTAAAAATATTCAAATACATAAGTTTATAAGAATAGAAAACTTAAATATTCATGCTGACTTAAAAATCAAAATGCTGTGAAGATGCAGAGCTAAGTTTGATTGGTGTTATAGTGTTTTCTCTAAGTTTTTGTAATTGGATTTGATGTAAATGAACCGTAGAGTTAGGATTAGTTTATTGGATCAGTTTAAGAGGTAAAGAGTATAATCTAGTTTATGAACTGATTAGGATAATTAAACTGAAATCATTTTTCTTACCAAGTATTAATAGCTCTCACTCGATTTCTAGCTTTTAATAGAATATCGGTGAAATTAAGTTGGCGGTATCATCCGTGTCAATGATAACTTTAAGTCCCGGGTTTTGGATGGTAAAAAGTGGTGATAGTTACTAGTATAATATAGTTCAACTTAAGTTAGCAGTTGAAATGGAGTTTGAGGATTTGATACTTGGGGCTATAATCGAGCCCATCTGAGCCAAATAGTGATATGCTTGAGCTCAATCCAAAACTTGAGACTAAATACTTGGTTCAAGATCGATTCAAATTTTTTTTCTAAGTTGAACTTGAAGAGCTTGAAAGTACGAGCATCTGATTTACACTCCTAGTCATACTAAGGTGATGTTACTATGGTGGTGAGTTGGTGAGCTACAATTTATGATTCTTTTGGATGCTGAAAATATATGCCATGCTGTAAATTGGTTAGCATGAGGGTTTATGTTCTTATTAACAAACCGATATGAAATTCACACAATCAAGGAATTTTTTCTTTGTTCATAAGGTTACATGCTTTTCTTTACTCTATTTAGAAAACATAGTACTATATTACTCCTTGACGAACACTTCAGTTTAAATTTTGCTCAGCATAAACTGATATGCATTGTTTATGATGTGTTTTATTTTTATATTGCTTGTTTCAGGAAATAGAAACTAATTCGGTCTTGATTTTCCTTTCATGAAGTATTCTTTTTTCTGTACTTGTTTCAGCTGGTCATTACTGTCTGTTTCTAAACTTTGTTTTTTTCTCTGCATGGCTAATACTTTCATATACTTGCAGGCTGCTCCAGTTAATATTATTGTAGGCTCTCATGTATGGGTTGAAGATCCAACACTTGCATGGATTAATGGAGAAGTTTTTAAAATTAGTGGCGAAGAAGTTCACGTCCACACGACAAATGGAAAAACTGTGAGTTTATTTTATGTTTTATATCTGTAACATGCCACTTAATCATATGTATATATATATTCTTAGCTCTTAACATATTTGTGATTATCAACTCTACTATTTCAATCTTACGATGTACAAGATCTAAAGGCAGCCAAGGCTATATATCAAGCAATTTCTAGCTTAGCATCTGGTCAGTAGAATCTGTTAGCATATGGTTTGAAACTGTGCATCCAGAGCCACTTTGATGTTTAGAGCTACTGGACTCTACTTTTTTTTTGGATTGATTGTACTCAAGTCTTAGTATTCGTACTGACCGAATAACTGATGGCAGGCTGTGGCAAATATCTCAAAGGTATTTCCAAAAGATACTGAAGCACCTCCTGGAGGTGTTGATGACATGACAAAGCTCTCATATTTGCATGAACCTGGAGTTTTGCATAACTTGGCCATGAGATATGAACTTAACGAAATCTATGTAAGATATATTCTGTCCTCTCTTGTCTGTTCACATGCTGAAGTAGATTTTGGGCAAAGACAATTGCCAGTTTATATCTAATCTCAAAGCCATTGTAGTCTTGCATGCTGAAGTGCAGTTCTATGCTACTTTCCTCAGACATACACTGGAAATATTCTCATTGCTATAAATCCATTCCAAAGGTTGCCGCACCTGTATGATACTCACATGATGGAACAATACAAAGGAGCTGGATTTGGAGAGCTGAGTCCTCATGTTTTTGCGGTTGCAGATGTTGCATACAAGTAAATTTCCTCTGTTCTTCATCAGATGTTTCCAAGTAATAAATACCTTCTACATCAGATGTTTCCGAGTAATGCTCTTCCTGATTTTTCATATAAACAGGGCAATGATGAATGAGGGAAAAAGCAATGCAATTCTAGTTAGTGGAGAAAGTGGTGCTGGTAAGACTGAGACTACAAAGATGCTCATGCGATACCTTGCATATCTTGGTGGTCGATCTGGAGTTGAAGGGCGAACTGTTGAACAACAAGTTCTAGAAGTAAGATTAATCTTAAACATAGCAGCCCTCTTTGCTTCCTCCTTATTTGCTTAAATCTGTAATACATGCGTAGGTTGTGCTATGTTACCATGCATCACCTGACCTGGTATATGTGGATGTTTAATTTTTTTCAGTCCAATCCCGTTCTCGAAGCTTTTGGAAATGCAAAAACTGTAAGAAACAACAATTCAAGGTACGTTTGCTATAGGATTTGACATATTACAACCTTCTTCATACATGATAGCCTATCTATTCCACTCATCATCTGTAATTATTAAATGTTGGGTTCTAAAGTGGTTTTAGAGAGATAGATAAAGGGTCAAGTCATGTTTTAGCATTTGCAACCAGTTGGTCTATTTTAATATAAAAACAATGGTTTTTGCAATTAATTATTTGATTTGTCATTTTTCTGTTTTACTTTTTTTGTTTATCTGAATTTTCTTGCCTTTTGGTATACTATGTAGTCGTTTTGGTAAATTTGTTGAGATTCAATTTGACAAGAATGGGAGGATATCTGGAGCTGCTGTTCGTACGTATTTGTTGGAACGGTCTCGAGTTTGTCAAATTTCGGATCCTGAAAGAAATTACCACTGCTTTTACCTTCTTTGTGCTGCACCTCCTGAGGTATTAATGTTTTGATTCTATAATGAATATTTCTGATTTTGGCATCAATCTAAATGTGCAATTAGACTTGACTGTGTACCTAAGAGTAGGTAACGAAGCTAACAAAGCCACAATTGTAGTGGCAAGAGCTGTAAATTGGCATCACAGACCAGGATTCAAGCCATGCTTAACCTACCCCCCCCCAAAAAAAAAACCCAAATAAAAGGGGGTTCAGTGATTGATAATGTTTTATGACAATTTTCAGGTTAGAGAAAAGTTCAAATTGAGAGACCCTACATCTTTCCACTATCTCAACCAATCACGCAGCTATGCATTGGATGGGGTAGATGATACTCAGGAGTACCTTGCAACTATAAGAGCCATGGATATAGTTGGAATCAGTGAAGAAGAGCAGGCCAGTGTTCCATTAGTTTGAAAAAATAGTGAACTTATTGTTGCATTCATAATTTTCACCATTGATATTCCTTTCAGGAGGCAATTTTTCGTGTTGTGGCTTCCATTTTACATCTTGGGAATATTGAATTTGCTAAGGGTGCTGATGTTGACTCTTCGGAGGTCAAGGATGAGAAATCTAGGTTTCATCTTAATACGACAGCTGAACTGCTCAAGTATGACCTGTTCATCTTCTTGTTGAATATATTTATTGATTTCTCATCTTGCCTGTATTATTTTTCAATCACTTCCTTATAAACAATGTATACAACAGGTGTGATGTCAAGAGCTTGGAGAATGCACTGATAAAGCGTGTGATGGTTACCCCAGAAGAAATTATTACAAGAACTCTGGATCCTGTTGCTGCAGTTGGTAGCAGGGATGCGTTGGCTAAAACAATTTATTCTCGCTTGTTTGATTGGTAAATTAACTTCATCTCTGCTTTATATTTATCCATGGTGCCTGAACTTCTAGAATTTTCTTTGTTTGTTTCCATCAGGCTTGTGGATAAGATCAACTTTTCGATTGGACAAGATCCAAACTC